TTTTTTTTTTTTTTTTTTACATTAAATAAAACCCCAAGCCTAATCTTCTTTATTCAGGCAGAGCTAGTAATGACATAAAGCTCAAGCAGCCCAATCCTTTTGTCTATACCCCCTGAAGTCCTAATCTGATAATTCAGAATTAATTCAATAGACAATAATGAAATGATTGAGGTAGATGGGACTAATCTGCTGTCTCCTCATTCCTGTCAGCTTGAATACCTTTGAACATCCTCTTCTTATTCATGACTTGCAAGGCAATTGCTTTAGTGCAAGCTCTGTTCTGGTCTGCTTTCTATTTTACCATGGCTCTGATATTTGATTTCTGCTACAATATGCCTCAGTGCTCCCTCCTCATCTAACTACCCATCAGTGATCAAGTCTGCAAGCAAGGAGAAGGGAAATCTGCCAGCAGCCTACTGCCTAATTCACTGTTTATTCCCCAGCAATTGCTTTTGTAGCCGTATCTTGCACTTCCACCCAGTTCTTCAGGAAATCTAAGAGTAGAAATAAGGGCAAAATAACAAGAAAAACTATCCCATTTCCTGCAGGAAGCAAAATAAAATTCTACAAGATAAGTTCCTCAAAATAGATTCACATTTTTTAACAGACAATGGTCTACTTGATGTTTCACAGATTCCATCTATAACAATACAGCTTGGTTTGTGTTTTGGCTTTGGTTGTGTTTTTGTTATTTGGTTGGTTTTGTTTTAAATTCTTCATTCTCAGAACATTCCTGTTCATTTTTCTGTGAGCAGGTGGCTGAAGGTGTGAGAGCTGCTCCAAGGAACCTCCATCCCTGCTACAGGAGCCACGGATCCCAGGCCACAAGCTCTGCCCAGGGCTGCCTTCAGCAGATCCCCAAAAAACACCACTGCTGCTACAGCCCCTTTTTAAACAGATCCTTCCTTTGACAGCATGAGGTGGTTTAACCATCCCACTCTCCAGCCCTCTGGAAAGCCTTGGAAAGAGTCAGAGTCTGATAGACAACTCACAAGTTTCAGATAAATGCTGTTATTTCTGTCTCCTCCAGGCTGACCAGTATCTATCTTTATGTAGGCATTTTTAAATACAGTTTTACTGCCCCTCTCTGCCCGTGTTCCACAGGTTGCAGGGTGTTTTCTTTGTAAGTCATGTTTAGTACTCAGGTACTGCCCTGCTCTGCCTGGGGAAAAGCCTGGCCCACTGCTCTTGTCTGCTGGTGTCTTTTCCCAAAGCTACCAGCTGGTGCTTCCTGGATTTCTGGCAAGATACAAGCAATGAAAGTACCACTGTGGAAATTCTGTGGTTATGTTAGTGTGGCACTGAGCCAGCACTGTTTTCTCAACAGGCAGGATGTAATGTGCTAACTCAGCTCGACAGGTTCCAGCCCCTCCAAGTGCCCATCTACTCCCAAACATACAGGCACAGCCTTCAAAGCCTCTCTTTTTTTGGCTCCTTTGGATATTTTTTTTTTTTTTCTGCCAAAGCTCAATGGCAGGTTATATCTGAATTGCACCCAGTGCTGATGTCAACTGCTTATACAATATTCCAGCTGCTCTGTTGGGAAAACAAAGCCTGTAAAACTAATAAAGGCAACCAAAAACTATGATTATATCAGTTCTCAGAACCCTGCTACTTGTCGGGAATAAAGTCTAAGTAAATATCAATTCTTAGATAGTCAAATATTATTTAACAACCCATTATTATGTAAATAAGTTATGAATTTTTTTATTCCCCTAAGACGAAGTGATCACTCTGGCCAAACATAATCTTTTCCAACTGTGCAATTATGAATAATAAAAGGTATTTTTTATGCAATTTACTGTAAAGAAAATAAATCTTTTAATCAGCTAAGGGATGCAAGAGTTGGCATCCAGACCTCTGCTCAGCCAGCATCACCTGTTCAGTGAAGGAAAGATGACACTAGCATCCACTTACTTCAAAGCATTTTGCTTTGTCTGGACTTGAGGAGTTAAGAGCACCACTTGTGAAAGTAAAATTTTACTGCCAACTGGGAAATTAGATTATCTCTTCTGAGAGAAGCACCATCACAAGCACATGAAAGCATCTGCCAACTCATACATCTTTACTTCTGTTTGCTTTTGCAGACAAGAACTCATCCTTTTCTATTTCCTCTGGTACGAACGTTGCCAGGCTTAAAAAGCCAAACCACTGCCACGCTTTCTACCCATCACAACAATTTTCTGGACCAAACCCTTCATTTGTGCTTCCTTCTGGAAAGCAATTTGCTAAGAGTGATTCCTGTTTGTATTTTCTGTGAGGCTCTACATTACACATGTTATTTTAAACCTTGTGGGTATGTGTTCTGTTTTTTTAACCACGTAGATCTCCTTTTATCTCTGCCCGACCTCTGGCCCCTCTGTGAGGTTGTTGTGCAAGCAGCAGCACGAGCTCCTGCTGCTGCCTCTCCCTGTATTCCTACTTATTTCATGGCTTCTGGCAAGTGGAGCTGCTGGTGACCCACGCTGGCATAGCAGAGACAGCAGCTGTGCCAAGTCTGGCAGCCAGCAGGTTTCAGTGATGCCAAGGGAATGGATTACAGGAAACATTTATTTGAATGGGAGATGCAGTTTCTACTTTAAGTATGAAAAATATCAGGGTTTTCTGGGGCTCTTTAGCTCGTGCTTTTTGCAAGCTGCTTGTTAACAGAACAGTAAGATACCCAAGCAAGGTTAAATTATTTAAGGAATTTTAAAAGGGCCAAGGCAACAGAAATTTTTTTAAGAATGAGGATTTGACATGATGATGAATAGCTGTTATGATAATTTGGGATGGCTAACCATGTATACAGATGCACTGTGATGGGTCTGACCTTTTTTGCTGTAAGAAGACAAATCTTTTTTCTTGTGTGTGTGTCTGACTAGACAGTGCCTGGGTTTCTTCTGGTGTTGGTGCAGAAGTGCAGCCACATGATTCATGCAAATCATCTCCTCAGAAGGTAAGACTGCTGATAATCAAAAGCAGTGCATTAACTTTCCAAGTAGGACATTTGTAGCATTTGGAAATTTTTTTTTTTAAATCTCTGATTTACTACTTGCAAGTCTCGGCAAGAAAGACGGAATCAACATTTGCCACCAACAAGCTTTAAAGCAGCAGATTTTACAGCACCCACCTGCATTTGCAATGGTTCAGGTAACACTCTGAAACCCTGATTCTGCAAATGCGAAAGTAAGGGTGAAGGGTTCCTTTACTGCCTGGGAGAAGGTGAAGGAAAGATGCCCTGGGATCATGGAGCAAAGCTGAGCATGTGGCTAAATGTTTGACATGTGGGGCCCAAGGAACATCACACTGGGAGTCAGAGTTTCTTTTATTGATATTCCCAGCAGAGGCAGTGCAAGGTGAGAGCAAAAGAGAACAACATTGGACACTTCAGTGAGCGCCTTAAGGGAGTCACTTGTCAGGCATGTGGTGCTCTACAAGGGACAGACTTACACAGATAAACTTAAACCTGAGTGAGATAACTTCAGCAGCTTTTCAGTCTTGGATGAAGGAAATAGCACAGGGTTTTTTGCTCTGGTTAGGTGGCCATGATGAATAAATACACTGGCAGCAGGAAGTGTGCATTTATATAAATAAACTGACCTTTGATATAGGGTTTCTGAAACACTGCAGGATCATGAAACCAGGAGTCAACTAAAGTAAATGCATTTTCTTCTTTAATGAAGTCCTGCTGAACGTTTCCCTTGGCTTTCAGATGATCTGTGAATGTTTGGTACCAGAAATACCTTCATGTGTGTCCAACAGGGAAGCAGCTGTGCACACCTGCCAGGCTGGGGGCTGCCTGCCTGGGGATCCCACTGGCAGTGCTGGGCAGTGCAAATGGGTCCAGCCACCACCCTGGAGCACCTGCAGTGGAAGAGGCTCCCGGGGTGACAGATGGGGACAGCAGGTACAAGGGAACATCGTTTCCCTCTCTGGCAGGACAGAGGTGAGCTGGGGCCCTGCCAGAGTAGGGGCAGCAGTTCACAATCACAGAATGGTCAGGCTGGAAGGGACCACAGTGACTCACAGGTCCAACCACCCTGGTGGACATGGCACGGGAATGTGTCCAGATAGTTCTGGAGTATCTCCAGTAAGGGAGAGTCCACACCCTCTCTGGACAATCTGTCCCAGTGCTTGGTCACTATTCGGGTGGAACTTCCTGGGCATCAGTTTCTGCCCATTCCTCTTGTCCTGTTGCTCAGCATCAACAAAACAGAGCCTGGATCCATCGTCTTGGAACACTTCTTTAGCTATTTATACACATTAACGAGGTGTCCTCTCAGTTGTCTCCTTATAGGCTGAACAACCCCTGCTCCCACAGCTTTTTCTCATCACAGAGATACTCCAGTCCCTTCACCTTCGAGGCTGAACAAGCTCAGCTCCCACACCTTTTATTCAACACAGAGATGCTCCAGTCCCTTCATCTTCGAGACTGAACAACCTCTGCTCCCACACCTTTTACTCAACACAGAGATGCTCCAGTCCCTTCATCTTCGAGGCTGAACAACCTCTGCTCCCACA